GTTGCAGGGAGCAGATTGTTCGCCAGTGAGGGCAGCGGCTTCAGCAAATGATATTTTCATTATTATTATTCAAAGAATTTTATTCAATCAAACTTGAAAAACCTTTGGATTATTAAAGATTCAATCGTGATAACTGAGTTGGAGCTATCATAAAACTCACTGGCCTGCCTGAAGTAGGCACTGTGAAAATGCTGATGTGACATTGGAGCTGAATGTACAATCTAAAGGAAGAGCATTCAACACTGGGATGTCTTGCAGGCTAAGGGTTAGAACATGCAGTTAAAGAAGAAAAAATTGAATAAGGAGCCAGCATCACATGAGTTAATGGGCATTCGTCAGCTTGACCCTGCTCTGATTAAAAAGTTTACACAAATGCAAGACAATTTTTATAGATAGTTGAAGGTTGTTCCCAATTAAATACTGACCTGTAAAAGTGACCTGACTTAAGAAAAAAAAAATCCCCTCCCACAGAGCGGGGACAATTATACCTATTTCATTCCTTGAGCTTTTTGTAGAGCAAAATCATCCTACAGACAGAGAAGTTTTCTTCACAGATGTAGATTTTAGAAGTCGCCTTTTGCTTGTTTATAACTTGATCTCAGCCTCAGATGTTTCAGCCTTACAAGAAACTAGGGTGACCAGACAGCAAGTGTGAAAAATCAGGACAGAGGGTGGGGGGTAATAGGAGCCTATATAAGAAAAAGCCCCAAATATCGGGACTGTCCTTATAAAATCAGGACATCTGGTCACCCTACAAGAAACGCTGTTCCATGTTCATGTCACTGGAGCCTGATCAGAAACAGCAAAGGAGCAAATTCTGATGGGAAGCAGATTCTGATCCAGTGGCATCACCTGTGAGTAGCAGCCCAGCTCCTCTGCTCCTCCGCTTCCCTGCATCACCCAGCCTGGGAAGGGGGAGAGGGGACCATACGGCAAATGAATCCATTACAAGATAATTTTAGGGTATTTATTTTCAAATAATCACGGTAAGGTTAGGGCACACTGCCATGAGTGGCATATTGTGAATAAATCTTCTAAACTGAATTATTGCATTGAAAATGTTCATAACGCATCACGTTTAAAACAAAAAGTAGATCTAGCAATGCCATGTGATGTGCCTCCCCTCAGACTCTGCTCAGCTAGCTCTTCAAGAAATGAGGTTCAGTTGCTAATTTCAAGGAATTAGACCAATTGGTCACTATTGTTACAGAGCATTGCAGAAGGTGGTGGACAGAACCCAGAGGAATTGTGATGAATTTCCTGGGGAACTTTTTTTTTTGTACTCTAAACCTCACATGACAACAAAAAAATCACCTTTTCGACTGATTTATGGCCGAGAATATAGGTTTTCCAATAAAGCTTCATCAATTTTCATGTTATGTGTCACTAAGTGCCAGTGTCTATACTACAATTAAGTTAATTTGTGATGATTCAGTAAAGGAATACAACCCCTTCTCTATTTCTTTACCAAACTACATTTGTTGTGTCCCTGTAACCAAGACCATGAAGAGCCCGGCAGTACATTGAAATCAACAGTGGACACTGACAGTCCATTGCCTGCAAATAATATTTCTAAAGAAAAATAAACTAAAAAAATGGAAATTGTAGAAGAGATTTCTATCTATAGGAAGATGCTGTTTGAGGTTGCGGACCATGTTTTGTTAATTGATGTGAGAAAAAGAAAGGAAGGGTCATATCGTGATTACCAATTATATGTAGCTAGAAAGTTAATAATCACATGAATTAATGTGACATTCAAAGACTATTATATAATATTGTGTGAGTTAAGTTAAATATATTGCTTAATTAATTCTATCATTTTTTCACCTATTAATTTTCAAAGATGTAGTGCAGGAGGTGGGTGCATGTGCTAGGCCTTCCAGGGAGAACCAGTCAAGACAATAAGGGGGGGGGAGGAGAGAGAGAAGCTAAACATGTGTGTAGTTGTGATGTGTATGACACATGTACATTGTAACTGAACACCCCAGTCTGACAATTTAATAGTTTATTTTGTTAAGATAAATATTTTGGATTTCTTGAAATTCCACAGTTGAGATACAAATGACATTATTTAGAGAAGTTAAAAAGGGAAACTGGCAGCGTCCGGTCAGCACAAAATGTCCAGTTGCTGCAGTAACTGGCCCTACCACGGAGGGCGGAGGGGAAGAGCGGCAGCGTTGTGAGGGGACAGACTGTGCCGCGGGGTCACTGTCAGGGACAGAGATTCCCCCCGGCCTGAGCTGGGACCGGGCAGATTATCAGGGGAGCTGCGTTTGTACCCCTATCACTGACACGAGGATTGAAATAAGGGCGGAGCGTCCCAGAGAAGGTGTCAGTGAAAGTGAAGAGATGGGACCTGTCAGTCACATTATAAAACGAGACCTCACCTGCCTGATAGTCCAGGAAAATCCCCACCCGGCTGGGCCTGACACTCACGGGAAAGGGGATTGGGGGGGCTGTGCCGGCCTTGTACCCCTCATCCCTCAGCCACACGATCCAGTATCCATCCTCAGGTGTGAGTGTGACCTTCCCCTTCCTGTTTGCAGATTCCCTACAAACCCCCAGGTCCCACTCAGTCTTGTCTCCCACCTCCACCTCCCAGTAACGTCTCCCGCCCGTGAACCGCTCAACACCCAGGACACAGGGACAAAGATCAAATCTCTCAGGATTGTAGGGCAGATCCTGCCATGTGTCTCCGAATCTCACATGTTTCTGATCCTCAGACAGGATGAGTCTGGGATGAGCCGTGTCTGGATCCAGAGTCATGTCCACTGGGGAGAGAGTCACAAAGTCAGTGCCGGGGGCAGGGGCTGGTCACTGGGATCAAAGGGAAATTAACCTGCGTCTCCGTTAATCGCTGGGAGTGGTTGTTGCCCAAGGGGAGTCAGGGCCCGTCTGCCTGTGAGGAGGCAAGGGCAGGAGGAGCAGGGGAGGGGTGGGAAGGTGTCAGTGGAGGCGGGGGGGGAGGGAAAAGTAGAGGCTGAGAGAGGAAAGGGGAGGGGAGGTGACGAGGAGCGAGGAGGGGGTGGAGGGGAGGGGCAGGAGGGGGGAAATAAGGAGAAGGTGGCATGGGTGATGGTGGCAGAGGGGCAAGAGGAGAGCAGGG